TCGAGTCATCACTGATCATTTATAAAAATCTATGCTCGCTCAACCCGAGCATTCCAGTCGATTGTTGAAGTAGGTGGTGGAGCTCAGTGAATGCGACATCAGGTACGTTTCTCAGACGACTATCAAGGCCCAAGTGATCATTGATTTTTTGGTAGACTTCTCGAAGGCAAAAGAGTCAGACAAATAAAGTTCTACCAGTGACAAGACTTGGTTCTTGCATGTCAACATATCATCTAAGTAGGTGATCGTCAGGCTCAGACTTGAGTCTGACCAGAGAGCATGTCTATCAAATTGTGGCAGTAGAGTTCGAGGTTACAAATAACCAACTAGAGTATGAAGCGCTGATTGTTGGGCTTTCACTGGGCATATGAAATTGGCGTTCGAGATCTGCTAATAAATTTAAACTCCCTGTCGGTGGTCAATCAAGTTAATGGGGAATTGAGACCCTTCACCAAGACACAAAGGGAAATAGGAAGGTTCAAAAACTTCCGTATAGAGTGCGTGAGTTACAAGGTTGCATAGGATTAGCGTCCGTTTTTTGGATGTAAAATTTGACACTACATCGACAATAATTTTTTTTGTCTTTCTACGGTATTTTCCGACGCAAATGAAACAATATTCATATGCTAAAGATTCATCGTTTGATATCTTCATACGCAAATTTTGACGCACTTTACGTATAAACAAATTTGAGGCTACTACGACACAACAACCGATGCAAATTATTTATGTCAGTATATTTTGACTTAAATTAGACGGAAATAAAATTAATAACCCCCAGTTTAACGTCATAAAAAATCAAACGCAAATGCGACACTAATATTTAAATATCGCCGGATTTGCTTCTGATCTAGCCGACACAAATATGCTAAATTTCTATAGTGAATGCATGCAAAGTAAGAAAATAATGGCAAGATGGATCTATCCATATTGTTTCTTATAATTAACTGGCCGAATTGGTCATCAACTTTGACGAGTCAAGTTACTTTGTCAAATTGGCTTATCAATTTGATGGGTCGAATTGATCAGCCGAGCAAACTGCCATGCCAAAATGAACTATTAGATAGACAAAAGTTGTCGCCCCACTTAATTTGGGCTTGATCTAAGAGTATGTCTATAAAATTACACATAAACTAAGTATTTTTTAGGAATTTGCGTAAATATTCTTTGATGGAACAAGTTAGACGCACAATTATAGACTAATTGAAGTACACAAATTTTGAATGGAGATAAATGTGAGAAATTCATGGGTCACTATCTTGCTAGGTTAAGAAAGACTCCACGTCAAGCACTTGCCTGCCGCAGGATTTGGATCTTAAGGAAGCTGAAAAGTTATGTTCATTTGAGATGTTACTAATCACATGTTAGAACAATACTTTATGTCTCGATTGGACCATTTTGTTTGTCCTGAATGAAAGAAGAACAAAATGAACTTGTCGATTTGAATTCGAGTCGTGAAAAAGATGAGAATTTGAAAGAAATTATAATCGTAATTGGACAACCATATTTTTGTGAGTTAGATTCATAAGTCATGTCATCATCATCAATTGGATTCAAACAATTATCAATTAGTTTAATCAATCTGTTAAAAACAATTAGCCGGTCGATGAAATATTGTTATAAAATTGTCTTTTTAATTACCAAGAGACACCTGGCTACTGTAAAATAACAAACACAGTCATTCGTGTAATGTTGAATCTCAACCCTAACTTATAAAAAAGATCTAAAGAATGAGCTTAGGAAGTTGTGATTGAGTCATGTCACATCAACTTGTAATTTTGATAGGGAAATAATTTTTCTTCTTTCCCCTCCCTTGAGTATCAAAATCTCTTATTCTTCTTTATAAATTTCATGCTTTCCTCTTTTTTCCTAATGCATACTCCCATTAAAATGCCCAGACTCCTTATAGCTGTAAAAGGTTCATATTTTTGCTTATATTTTTTCTTTTTTCTATGAAAATAGACCTAGATTTATCTTTAGAAAATTTGGATTTATATCTCTTTTCTTCATGCTTTAATGATGCTTCTTCAACATATTTCATTGTTGTCAAGCATGTAAGATATTATCTTCATTACTTTTAGATGGAGTGACATCATTATCATCAGGCTGTTGGAATTTAAAAAAAGTGAATTTGGACATTTTTTTTTAAAATCCCATATTTTGTTTTGTTTTTTAATTAATGTGCTATAAGTGATTTATGTATTGATTAATGGTATAATTGAATAAATCATGAACTTAAAAATTGTAATTATTTCGGGCCTCCCATCCATCATATTTTTGACAAGATTATGAAAATATTTTGGGATTTTTGTGAAGTGAGCGAACATCTTTGCTTTAGATTCCCTATCATTCATCTTGAATAGTTTGTATTATTACATGAGAAGAGATGCTTGATTATTTCATCTCATTTATCCTCTTTTGTGTGACCATGAGCATGTCCCAGTTTCTTTCCCAAATTGCTCATTTTCATATAATCATTATTTTTAAAACACCATAAAAAAATTACATCTTTACAATAGAGTAGATCAAGATCCAACTCAATAGGGGTCCAATCCTCAATTGATTAGGAAGTGTTTGCTTATCAACATGGATTGATGGTCCATAACTTATTATGCCAAAATTTTAAATGTGTGTGCAACAAGATTAGAGAAACATTGTGCAATTCTTTTGAAAAAAAAAATTGGGATCAAATAAATGTGATTGTTGTGCTTAAGTATGTTACCATTGTGCTTAATGAGCAATTGTGAACCATGCATGCTTATTCATAAACCACAAAGATTGAACTTAGAGGGGTATGACATAATATAGAGCCATGACTTTGATTTAGGAACTTTTGTTGCGAAGTGCAGGTGAGAAAGAGAGATGAATTAGATTAAAAGAAAGAAACTATTTCAATCTCAATATGCTTTTCAAAAGAATTAGCAACAAACAATAATAATAATGAAAAAATAAAATCTTAGTTTTAGATGATTTTGCATGCTAAAAAGATGTTAAAGTATTAGAACCAAAAAATGAAATGTTATGCTTAAAAGTGGGCAAGCCTTACATTTTTCTCTTTAAATTTTTTTTTACTAATTTGAAAACTAAATCCATTTTAAAATTGTGTAGATTAATCTAATTTTCTTAATCTTGTATTTCTAAAATACTTAAAAACCAAAGTAGAGATTTGAACTAGCTATTTTGTTATAAAAGCTGTTTTAAAAATGCCAACAAGGATGACATTGTAGCCCGTAAACCCGTTATGCAGGCCCACTAAAGTTCAGCTCACAGAAGTTGCTTCGCAAGGCCAGCATAGCCATCTATATTTGTAAAGCCCAATGATAGAGATAAATGAATTTTACTCAAAATTTTCTTTGCAAAATTGGATAATAAAACTTAATTTTAAAATATAATCATCTGAGGGTTTACATAAACTGAATGTATAAAGTGGCAATTACACATCTAGCACTTGCAACAAACTATTTACAAATCTAGCACATATTTTATCATTTTTAAAATTCTCATCCAAATATCGAAATTCATTCTAGTTAGACAACTAATATTTTTTATTTTTATCAAGTTGATTTGTTTCAGGCACGGTGTGATTACTTAAAAAATCTCTTAGTTGCTCCTTTTTTAAATAGCCGGGGGAGGGTGTGGGGGAGGAAAAATTATTTCATACGGATCGGACACCGAACGCAAGCTGCGGATCGGCCCCCGAACGCAAGCGGCGTTGCGTTCGGTGTCCGATCCGGACCGTAAATCACCTGATCTACGGTCCCGATGTATTTCGGTGGGCCCCACCTAATTTTTTTTATATAAAAAAATTGAAATAATCCTGACCATAGATCACCGCCCCCGTGACTAGCGGCCGGGATCGGACACCGCATGCAGAGATGCATGCGGTGTCCGCACGCAATAATGCATGCGGTGGGGGAGAGAGATAGAGAGAGAGAGAGAGAGTCAAATAGTACAATTTGGAGCAAATTTTCATAATGTTTGAAAAAATCGAGCACACAACCAATCTTTGGGCCCGCTGTAGCTCGTGGGCTTCAAGATTCGAGTCCATGTGGTCATACTTTAGATGAAGAAATTTCTGTGTTCGCATCTCTCTCTCTCTCTAGAGAGAGAGCTCCACTAAACTGTTATCCAACTTTTTAACAAATTTATTAGCCAGCTTTGAATAATATAAGGTGATTTTTTAGCTTCTGCATATCTCGTCTTTATTAGTGAGATTATGAGTTTGATCCCCTATACTTTCACTCAACTGTCATATCTTTATATATATATATATATATATATAAGGAAGGAGCATATATATATATATATATATATATGCCTAGTCCTTATAATCTTAAAACTTAGCAAAAAATTCGTTTATGATAATTTACATGCCATATCATTTTATCTGATGTTTGCAGTCTGTTTTTATTAAGAATTACAGGCTAATGAGCGAAGGAAAATTTTGAAAGCTTAATTTTTAATATAAAAAAGTGAAATATTTTATGAGAAAAGAATTTACAGCTCCAAAAGTCTTGGTCCCCTTCCCTCATCGCTGGACCATTCTTAAAATTATTTTCTCCGCATATATTTATAACCTTTACACAAAAAAATTGCGATGGACACTTTTCAAGATCTCTTGCTTTACCCTCATCCACCCAAAGAAGAAAAAAAAAAGTGGCAAATGGCTGTAATTGTTTCATAATGTATTACAGATAAATTTAGAATGTTCTTTTTATTTCGCATAAAATATTTACAAAAATATCTATTTTTCATAAAATATTTTTTTGTAATGTTATGGTTACGAAGCATCAAGCTTTTTAAGGAAAACGAATATCTGGTCCGGAGCTTCACTGGCCATTAAATGAATTAAATAATTTTAGAGGTGTAAATTGTTTAAAAGATAAAAATAAAGAGAGTTAAAAATAACTTCGTCTCCCAACCAACCAAAGATGATCGAAATTTTCTCTATAAATACGATGGCGGACCAAAAAAGCTACCAATTGAGGCGTACAAATAAATCAAAACCCCTCTTTTGTTCTCCTTCTCCTTCTCCTTCTCCTTCTCATTCTCCTTCTCCTTCCAGAATCCCACCTACCAACAATTCTTAATGTCAGGTGGAAACAATTCACCGGTTCCCTTGGGCGCATGCGATTGGCAGAATCCGACAACATGGAGAAGACCATGTAATGAGCCGATTACAAATGAGTCGTCGGTCAATGTTGGATCGGACATGCTGCCATCGCTCTCTGACACCATTACATCTTCTCCCCAATATTTCGATTTAAATGCAACTCTCTTAATTCCTCCCACTCTGAACCATAATTCTTATACCAGCGGTAATGCTGGTGTTTTTCTTAGTGGTTCGCCTTCGGCGTCGCTATGTTTGCCAAATGTGGGCCAGAACAATGTAAATTTGATTGGCGGTGACAACCACAGCCAGGGTGGGTATGGTTACCAGTGCGAACAGGATCGTCGTCATGAGCAGCGGTCCAACTCTTGTCGAGGTACGAGTGGTTGTATGCCTACATGCATGCAATTCCGTAGAGAGCAACCACGACCTTACATGGTACCAACTATCTCTCCGCCTATGTATCCGATGTTCATTAGTAATGTCTTTCCCTCCAACTGTTATAGTACTCATGAAGTCCCCAATGACATTCCCTGTAAGATTCTGCTCTCATTTTTTCAATTAAATTGCAAATCAATTTCGATGATTTCTGCTTAAATATTCTTAGATGGTTTTGCAGATTTTCCTTCGAATGAATATAACAATTCAGCCCGCCCGCAGTTTCAATATTTGTGCAGGCCATCTTCTGTTTCTTATCAAGGGTTTTATGCAGCGCTGCAATCTAAATTTTCTTTTTTGCTGTTTAATCTGCGGGCGAACTTGCAGGAGCAGATTGAGTACTATTTCAGGTATGCTTGCTATATTCTTTTTTTTTTAATTTTAAAATGACTCGATATTATTCATTAATATTGTGCTACACGTATTATGATTTCCACAGTTCAGAGAATTTGCACACTGATTCTTACCTAAAAGAACACATGGATGATCACGGCTGTGTTCCAATAACTTTGATTGCACAGTTTAAGAGAGTGAGTAATTTTGGTTTGTTTGTTAATTATTTTGTCTTGATTTGACCTTTTTGTCTTTTTTTTTATTTTTATTTTAGGGGCGATTTGGTAGCTAGTTTTAGGCAGAGTTTATGTAAAATTTATGCTAAATCCTGACAAAAGGTAAAAAAAAAACAGCATTCATAAATCTTGTAGGATCTTCAATATTTATCTTAATTTAAAAATTGTCAAATCATTTCTTAAAATTTATTTCAATTTATATATTAGCATATAAAAATGTTCTCACAATTTAAACCTTTTAAGAATTGATAAATTGAGATTTATTGGATTTACTAAATCCTATTTATACTAAATCCTACTTGAAACCAAAAAACCCCTTAGTTTTCTTTTTTATCTATTTATTTTGATATTGTAATTGTTTGATTTTTACCCTTCATCCTTATGAAATTATTTGTTGTCATATTAATAGGTTCAACAATTGATGAAAGAAAGACAACTCATATATGATTCTTTCAGAATTTGGAGTTTCATGGAAATGCAGGTCAATATGCATACTATTTACCGAATAATATTAATTGTTTACTTCTCCGAGAATTTTTTTTTGAAATAAAATGATTTTTCTTCTACAAGTTTGGATAATTATTACTATAATTATTATCTCTTATTTTAATTGTAAATTCAGTCTTAAAAATTATTTTTTACTGTGTTGCAGGTTCAGCCGTTGGCCGATAAAATACAGTTCATATTGGATTCTTTAAGGCCTTCATACGTTGTGGAAGTGCAAGTAAATAATATTTAATTGTTGCATTCAATACTGCATTTTAGCATTTTCATGAAAAATAAAAACTAAATAATTTGTATTATAAAGATTAAAAGAAGGAATTTAGTTCAAAATAAGATAATATTTTAATGTACATTTTCATATTCCTACTTTTAAAAAGTAATATTGCATTAAACATTTTGATTTGCAAGAATAATGCATGTTTCAATTTTATAGTTTATGTAATAATTTCTTATTTACATGCAGGGTGATAAAGTGAGAAAACGTCATGAATGGGAGAAATGGGTGTCACGCTCATAAATCTCTGTTCGTTCCAGTGTTAAATATGTGAATCATCTTCAAAAAGCCTCGGAATAAGAATCTCTGAGAAAGACTGTGCGGTTGAAGAATTTCGATAATAAGAAAATTTTTGGGTTAGAATTCATTATTAAAAATTTTTCAGGATCAAAATCAAAATTTTAGGATTCAATTTAATATGAGTGTAATACATACATACCACATAACCCTCAAATCACTGATATCACATCAAAAGTATCACTATTTTAGAGTGTAATGCCTTTTTTTTATGTCTCTGAATTGATGAGAATCATGATTATAATGCTAAAGTTCGTTTTTTTTATTTATGTAAACATCAACAATTTGGTATTATATATACATAAGAAATATGTGGTATGTATGAAAATCTAAAAAAATAAGTTTAATGATTTTGAGATTTGTCTTGATTAAAAACTCAATAGAGATTATTCTCATCTAATTTTCTTCCATAATCCAAAACACGAGATTCAACTAACAAAATAAGTACAATTTGATGATATTCTAATGTATGGAAATTTATTGAACACTGGAACTTCATAAATGTTTATAAAAACATATAGAGATTGGGAGACTAATTTAGTAACTTTAATACAAGTAAAAATACAATATGCTACTTATATTTTATGGAGACATGTAATTTGGGTTAGGTTAGTTGGGACATAAAGTCCTTTACAATTAAGCCTAGACACGATCACACCAATCCACTTACACAACGGTGTGGTGTGATTCAGTCCGACGTTTGGACATCTAGACTGTTTTCTCTTCTACCACGGGGCTATAGTGTTATATGTTTTTTTCTATTACATATTTTGTAATTTTCTTTTTTGTGATGATTCAAAAGTTGAGGGCAATTTCCTAGAATACTCTTGTATGCTAGCCCTTGAACTTATTTGTATGATTGTCCTTTATAAAGGTGCTTTAATGACTTATTAGATTCTAATCTCTCTCCCTCTCTCTCTTAATGGTTCCGAAGTCATATATACGTATATTACATACATACATACATAAATATATATAAATGCGCATATGTAAATGTATATGTATACATCTATGTACATAAATGCATACTTACATCTACATAAATATAGGCATAAATACATACATATATATATATATCCATATGTATATATATATATATA